AGCTCGTCGCTGGCGAGGATGAATTAGTGGATGGGTGGCCGCGTTGGCTTGTGAATAATATACCAAAAGAAGTTCTCGCTGGTTTGGTTCCCAAGAGTGCCGATTCATATGTTAAGATCGATAAGGTATGCAGCTTCTCTTTTCTGCAACTTTTGTCGCTTACTAGTTACCACGTACATTTCTTTCGTCTTGATGGCTTGTTGAACATTTGATTCACTGTTTTTACCCTAGGTTTTTTCTGAAATTTTTTTTGTTTAATGATTTTATAGTGATGAATTTCAAGAACTATAACTTATACAGTAATATTCTCTAGTTATATTCTTTATTATGAACTGCTTTTATGCTTTGGTTCGCCACCTCTTCACTGAAAATACGTTTGTTTTAGCTTAGTGCTAATAACATGGCTTTCAGTTCTGCAAACGGTATATTGAATTTGTCTTCTACTCTAGATCATATTTTTTATTCTTTAAATGGTAAACTCGTAGCAATTGGACTATGAAAGTGTTTTGTGATATAATGCAAGTTGATTGGAAACTTATATTAAGCTTGGATATGCCCTATTTTCTTTTTGTATGACAGAGAATGTAGTTTGGATTTATGTCAGAATATTTAGTTCTATACATGGTAAAATTAGGAAAGGCACAAAATTTAAATGATTTAATATCAATTATGGGGATAATTTGAGTTAAGAAGTAGTATCAAAGAGAGTGAAAATTCAATTTTTTTTCCTTAAATAATGGATAATTTTCGAAGTTTTTTGATTTAAAGGGAAAGGAAGAGAAAAAATCATCACTAAATGCAAATGGAGGATTTTTGATCCAGTAGCTTTTGATACAAATTTGTGTCAAGAGTGCAATACAAATGATTAAAAGAGATGGATATTTGATCGGAAATATAAGACAACACAAAGTTGTCACAGGAAGGAAAATGAATTTGAGTGTTTTTTGCAGTACAAAATAGCTTTTTTATAATTATTATACAAAATTTTTATATTTCTGATCAAATATTGTTGTAGATTGGTCAAGGCACATATAGCAATGTCTACAAAGCCCGGGATAGGGATACTGGGAAGGTTGTTGCTCTAAAAAAAGTTCGTTTTGATACAGCAGAATCTGAGAGTGTTAAATTTATGGCCAGAGAGATTATGATACTACAGAAGCTGGACCATCCTAATGTTCTTAAGCTTGAAGGCCTTGCCACATCAAGAATGCACTTCAGCATTTATTTAGTGTTTAATTTCATGCAATCTGATTTAACTAGAGTTATCTCTCGCCCTGGTGAACGGCTTACTGAACGACAGGTTCGTGATATTCACATTATATTAAGTTCAGTTTATACTTACTGAGGTGTCTATGAAGTTAAAAATAATTTCTTACTTTGCTTAATCACATCTGTTACTTCTAAATCTTTCTTAAAGGGCAAGCTTTCTCTACATCCAGTTTTTTTTTTACCATTTTATATTGGTTTTTTTAACTTTTCTATTTCGCCTAAAATTCTGTTGAAAACATTTTGCTATTCTTACTGAAATAAACTATTTTAGCTACTTATTCTAGTCTGCTTTAGAATTTTGGTTCCTTAAAAGCATTTTAATAATTTGTCAATAATGAATTTCCTTGCAAATGTTGCCGTCTAAAATTCTTTTAAACTATTTTATGTAGATTAAATGTTACATGCATCAGCTGCTATCTGGTCTTCAGCATTGTCATGAGAGAGGGATCTTACATAGGGACATTAAAGGATCTAACATTTTGATAGATAAAGATGGTGTGTTGAAAATAGGTGACTTTGGCCTTGCAAATTATTACAATCCCAACCAAAAACGACCTCTTACCAATAAGGTTGTAACCTTGTGGTACAGAGCTCCTGAATTGCTTTTAGGTTCTACAGACTACGGGGTTGGTATTGACCTTTGGAGTGCAGGGTGCCTTTTGGCTGAGATGTTTTTGGGGCGACCTATCATGCCGGGAAGGACGGAGGTTAGACCATTTTCTTATCATTAAATTAGAAGACGAGTCTTGCCTTTTAACTTACATTTTCAGAATTTGTTTTACTCCGTTTTATAATCTTTCAAAGCTTTTGATTTCTCTCATTTCTTTGCAGTTCATTTAAAGGGCTATTTTGCGTATTTGACAAACACCTCTAAGAAATTGATATGTGATTTGGGAATAAGTTTTAAATTAGTGTTCTCTTTTGTTCTTTTCATGCTTTCATTCTTGTTATATTTGGGGTTAAACTTTTATGTGGATCTGTTTCTATTATTTTATTTTTTAAATTAGCACCTATTAATGTTATTATTATCGTAATGAATATGCATGGTGTTAACAAACCTCGTGATAAGTTTTTTATTCTTGCTGAAGCTAAATTGAATTAAGTCAACGGGGAATGTTGAGTATCTTAATCATAATAAGCATAGAACTTTATATAGTTATCGTGGGGTGTGATTTATTTGACTAAAGTTAAACCTTCTATTTTGTAATGCTCTAGCATTTGTGGAGAGGTGTCACCAAATGACATTACCAACATATCTTGAAGCATATCAAGTTGTTATAGTTCTATTGCATAAATTTCACCTCATTGCAAATAGGATAGTTTTGAATGGAGCTCATATACCCATACACATGCTGAAAGTAAGGGAAATAAAAGATGCCCCATTTTTTGACACGGGAACCGCCCCGCAGGGGTGCCATCCATGATATACTTGTTTTAGTGCCACGGAGGATCGTGACTTGGATCGGTCCAGGAGGACTGGTCGACAATTTCTTTTTGTGGATTTCACCCCTATTTGGAGTGGGGTCCACTCCTATTTATCATAAGTCTAAATATGTTGTTTTTGTGTTTTAGGACAATTTTTTATTTAGTTTGGAGTGGGGTCCACTCCTATTTATCATAAGTCTAAATATGTTATTTTTGTGTTTTAAGACAATTTTTTATTCAGTTTATGTCAGAACAGCCGTCGACGCCCAGGTTTTTCTTCAAGGGTTGTATCCGAAGAGGAGAATGTATTTCGACAGCAACTTATACGAAGGTGGTGTTCATCTATCCTACCCTTCCCTGCTTCTCTAGCTACATCCCCCTTCCAGTCACCACCCTTCTTCTCATCCTGCTGCCAATCAATTTACCTTCTCAACCCTCTGTCCAATTATATCCATCCCATCAGGACTACTACTATGTTGTCCCATTGTTGTCGTGCTCCCATCCTGCCTCCCACCTTACATTCCAGCCACAACCCTCCTACCAGTACTCTCTCCTATCACCTGCTGCCGCAACTCAACCCGGAGTCCACTGTTCTTCCAACTTGCAGTCCTATCGCAACCCTCTTACCTCAATCTACACTCTAGACCTCGTTGACCCTGCGCCTCCTGCTCCATCACCACCTCCCACCACCCTTCCAACCGCCAACGCACTACCAACTCTTTCGGGATACAACCCTTGTCGTGTCTGTGTTGTGTTTTTTATTGTATATCCCTTTCAAGTGTGGGAGATTGTAATCGCCTATTTGCTTTGAGTAGCATTAGCTTTTTTTTTGTGGTTTGGGTTAACTCTGGTATCATTTGGTTTCAAAAATAGTTTAATCATAGTCATATCTTATGACTTTTAGTGTTCACAAATACTCAACCCCACCTCCACACAAACTTTCTTTCTTTTGCAGAATTTTCAAATCGGCCACCCGAATTTTTTTTCCCACCCTACCTCATCCCTATATGCCCTCTTCCGTCTACCAAAGCCCAAACCCCAACTACACCGCTGAGGAGGCAATTTCCAGAACTTGATCATGAATTTTCATGGATGACATGTAATGGCTATTCCGTCAAGTGATACAATAACTCGATTCCATTGAGGAAAAAACCTAGGGCAGGATCACCGTCGACCGTAATAATGAAATCTGTGGAGGACAGTGAGATGACCATATGAATCCCTTTCGTAGGGATGATGTCAATGGAGAGGAGGATCAACAAGGGTGCTTTAGGATATAGTTTCAGAGGAGACCAAGAGATGAGGTGCCCAGTGGACGATACGGAGATGAAGTGCTTGTTGGAAGGTACAGAGGTGAGATGCTAGTTGAAAGATACATGGATGAAGTGCCTATTGGAGGATACCGAGAATAGACTGAAAGTAGACCTACCAAACCTAATGGGAGAATGGATCCAGATGATTCCCTTGAATGGATGGATATAAACTGTTGAGCTGATATTTGAATACAATGAGGTGCTAGATGACAAAAGAGTGAAGCTCGCCGCCATCAAGATGAAGAGGAATGCCTCTTTATAGTGGAATATTTGAAGAACGAGAGAGACAAAGAGAAGGAAGAGACAAAATCACATATTGGGATAAATGAAGAAGGCGATGCAACGATAATACTCTACCTCCCACTATTTCTATGATATTTTCTTGAAGCTCCACTACCTGAAGTAGACAAAGCTATCAATTTATACAACATAAATTGAAGTGTGAGTTAAAAGAATCAGATGAGTACACTATAGTCACATACTTTGGAGGTTTGAAGCCTGACATTAGTAATATGGTCCAATTGTGAACCAACTGAGCACTAAAGGACATGCAAACTCTAACATTAAAAGTGGAGAGTTAGCAGAAACAGAGCAGTCAACCACCCCCAGTCAGACAACCACTTATAGTGGGAGATCTCAGGAGGATCACGCCTTAAAGATTGGAGCATACTTGTCAGGAACATGACATAGCCATTCTAAGTGGGAAGAAGTCTGAGCAGAGTAGCATACCTACTATAGTCCCTGTCAGGAAATGTTTCAGATGCCATGGTTTTTGCTTCCATTTGTCTGACGAGCTGAGTTTTATTCTTTTTCAAGCAGTGTGTAGTGGAGGAGATGAGCAACAAAGAGGTAGCTGGAGAACACGGTGAGGAGTACCATAGGGCAAGATGGTGGTTGTTTGGCGAGTCCTTCTAACTGAGGTTGCGAGGGAGCTGCGGTGACTTTGCTACAACACATTCTACATCCATTTCACCATAAAAAGAAATGCATGCAGTCTCATCATTGATTGAGGAAGAAGTAAGAATATAAAATGCATGCAGTCTCATCATTGATTGAGGAAGAAGAATATGTCGTCTACACTTATAGTGGATAAGTTGAGTCTCACGACTTAGAGACACTCTCAACCATACTTCCTGATGTGGTTTAGGGTGGTATGCTCGCAAATGGAGGAAGCTCTTCAAATGTTTTGGGTGGCAGTACTGTTGCCAGTCGGTTCCAGGCGCTTCTCGGGCTGCATTTGGGGATCACTTTTGCGATCACTTTTATTTATTCTTCTTTTATGTTATTTTGTTTATATTTTACTTTAAAATAAAATATGTTTGTTAGTGATGGTTATTTTAAAATTATTCGAGACATATAAATGTTATTTTGAGTGTCTTGTAAAATAAGTAACTTGTTTTTAAAAACCAAAAATAAAAACGCTTAAAAAAGGCACCAAACAAACATCTTAAAAATAAAAATAAAAACAAAAGGGGTCCCAAACAAACCCTTAGTATATGGTGACATGAAAAACTGTAGATTCCAACTATGTATTAAGGAGTACATGAAAATCTTTCTTTAGTGCTTAACTTATATGATTTTCAGCTAATTTTTCATTTCTTCTGCCATGCGCAAATAATTTTTTGTGCTATTATTATTGCATGCTGAAATCCTTTTTTTTGGTTGATATGTGACACACGCTTTTGACTCTTACTGTATTCCATCGACATTTTTAAGCTTTATTTTGTAGGAATTGGAATGCCTTGTATGCCTAACAAGGTGCTTGCTCTGGATATTTTAAGCGGACATTAAACTTCTGAAATTTACGTTTTTGACAACTTAGTTTTCATGTATTAAATCTATTGTTGATGTCCATAAAGACACTTCTTGAAGTGACAGAAGTTCACATAAATACTTATCCCTTACATTATTCCTGTAATATTACTTTTGATCAATTTCGTAGATTTTCTTATAAATTCTGTTATTTGAAAGGTACCGCCAAGTCATAGTTTTTCTTTCCTCATGTAGGTTGAACAACTACACAGAATATTTAAATTGTGTGGTTCTCCCACTGGGGACTATTGGAGAAAATTGAAGCTGTCGGCAAACTTTTTACCTCCACAACCCTATAAATCTTGTATTTTAGAGACCTTTAAAGATCTTCCTTTGTCTACTAAAAATTTTCTAACCGTTCTTCTTACGCTAGAGCCCTACAATCGTGGTACAGCAGCTTCTGCTCTTCAAAGTGAGGTATTATGCTATTATAGATTCAGCAACTGGTTAATACCAAGTACAAAATTTATAACTAGTTTTTTGGGGTAATGGTTTTATTACATCTTAGCAAAGTTATCTACTTTTTAACATACACTTAACATCCGTTTATTATGTAAAAAAATTAACTATGGAGTTTTATGCTTCTTTTAAGGAAGATTTACAGTCATACCACTCAATTCCTATATTTTTACATATATATCACCTAAACTTTAATTTCTACATGCGCACGACCTTTCCTATGCATGAAAAGTTGTAATTCACATTTTAAAAGTTAAAATAGTAGCATTTTTTATTTGATATGAAGGATTTAGGTGGCATTATGTATGAAGTAAAATTCAGGTGCTAGATATGTAAATGCATGGGAATTGGGTGGATGTATGTAAATGTCCCTTCTTTTAAACATAATATTCCATCATAGTTTGGTTTCCTATACATGCGAACCTATTTTCATTGTTAATGACTGAATGTTTTGTTGTGCCTATCATAGAAAATAGAAATCTAATTAACCTATACATATTGTTTTTAAAGGAAGAGGGTCTATTAAAATTGATTTAAAGCTACTGGTAAACACGATCACAATTAAATTAGCAATTTGTATGTTAGATATATGTCGTTTGTAAAATTGCTGTTATTGGTACCAAGTTAAATGAGAAATGTTGAATTTTGATGATTGGTACCAAGTTAAATGAGAAATGTTGAATTTTGTTGTTAGGTGTCGGCGCTTAAAAGGGGGGAAAAGTTAGGCTGTAAATATATGCCAAAATTCATGAATTGAATACATTAAATGAATACAGTCTATTTTAAATGGAGTATTACTAAAAGTAGATGAGGAGTAATAAAGCCGACAATAAATAGTTGGGACAAGTCTAATGTTAATCATGATTGTGATTTATGTTGTGTGGATGTAGTCTGCAAAGCATGATGGGCCTTTTATTTTTTTGTTCTTTTATCAATTGTCAATAAATGAATTCTCTATTATATTTTTTTCTATTTTGTTATTCATAAATCTATACCTTCACCCTCTTAATCCCCTCCAAATTGATCTTTTCCCTATAGTTAGTTTTTCTAGTCATGCTATCATCTAGATGAACTTGGTCGATCTAGTACCAACATCATTGGTAGCCTTTTGCAGCCCATTGGGCCCGCCGTTTACTCCACAACATTCAAAATGAGAAAAAAATATCATAGAAAGAGAGAATATATATGCAAGGGAAAGATAAGTGAGAGAGTGTGATAGAGAGAAGCAACATGTAATGTCCAATCATTGTTCGTGCCGTTGATTTGACAACTAGTCGTGAGTTCTTAGTAATATTCATATAAACTTTTTAAATGATATATTCCATATATGAAAATCCTCTTACAACATGCTAATATAGGAAAAATCTTACTACTTTTGGTAGGAGACATGGTTTTGTAGATCTTTTTCTTGATTATTTTTTTAGATATATAGCCTCCACTATGGAATTCTCACAATTTTAGTTTTATATTGGGCTACTGGGAGTTTTAATACATATTATTTGACAATAAAAGTTATGGAGCCATATTTGGGTGTCAAAGATGCCCAATATTGAGTTAAAAACTAACCCCGTGTTTTTGATGGGCTGTATCATTTCTTGAAGCTTATAAGATGTGCTTCTACAGATGCCATAGTGGAGAACAGCACAGTTTATGCCATTAATGTTCAAGAGAGAGGGGCAGAGCTGTGTGAATATATTTTCAATGCTATGCATGGCAGGGGAAGATAACAAAATGAAGGAGTGATTGTATGATGTGAGTGTGGTAGAGAAAGTGTGCGGGCTTTTGCGTTCCTTCACTATGTGTGTGTGAGAGAGAGAGGGAGGGAGCAAGGGAAATTGGGTCTACACTAGGGAGAGGAGCATTTCTTTAGGCATCGTACCATGAAAAGGAGAGTAATATGCAAGAAGACAAACTTAAAAAATGATGATATATTAAATTAAAAGAAGAGATTTTTATCAATAAAATAATAATCTAAAATTCGAGAGACAGTAGTTATATGTGAGTTAAAGGGAGCGAGCATTAAAGGAAGGTCATTGGAAATGAAAATATATTCAAAAAAAGAATTATTCTACTTCTTTAATTACAGGGTTATTTTAGCTTCTTCATGACTAGTTTTATTTCTACTTCCTCTTTTATGCCAAACACCACTTTCTTCACCAAGATCTTCATATTTTAATTGCCTTCAAAACTGGAGTTCATGGATTAAAACTGTAACCACTGAGGGGAAATACTGTATTTCAACATTGCAGGCCTTGAAATGGTGGCTACTGATGCATTAGGTGCATGTTTAATGTTAAATCTCATCGATATGTATTCATAGTGCATTATCTCATTTTCAATCTTTGAATTCCTTGGATAAACATCAATTTTACATCTGTGGAGATAATGAAATTCTTGTTAAATCAAATTAAATTTTAAAATAAATTCCAGTTCATTTTATATTGTCTTCTTGCATGTTTTATTGCAGTTTTTCTGCACGGAACCCCTAGCTTGTGATCGTTCAGGTCTTCCTGTTTTTCCAAACAAGGAAGAGGATGAGACAAAATTGCATCGTGAACGAAAAAAGTATGCTATTTGCCTGTAGAAATTTTTATTAATTTAATTTGATTAATTATTCCAAGTTTTTGCTGTCCTGTGCTAATATATACGTTAGGTGGCAGACCTCTTGCATCCAGCTGACATTTGATTAGAGTTTGAATTTATACACCTTAAAAAAGCTTACTTCTCTTTTTTTATGGCTGACTTTTAGAAAAAACCCTTTTTATTATAACTCATTGTTTGAATATATAAATGACTGTATGTATGCAAATATAGAGGACAAATTAGGATGACGATAAGGAGATAATATTTCTATTTATGGAATATGTTGCAATAATAATTTAACTTATTAATTTTGCACTTTTTATGATGACATTTTTCAATCCAACGCTGTTTTATGTTAATGCGCTCTCTCTCAAATTGGGGCATAAATATTTATATGCTCCAACTTGTTACAAACATTTCAACTTATCATTCTTCATTGACAACACGAGTGATATTTTTTTTCTTGATAGGATTCTATCTCTGACTAAGTGAAGATCCATTTCAATATGTTTGATTCTTTCATGGAAAATATGATTGCTCGCAATATAGATAACTGTTATCATAGTTAATAATCATAAATTGTAATATAAGGATGCTATATGCTTCTATGACATTTTTAATTGACAGCATATTGCTAAAAGAATAAGCCATTTTCTTTTATACAATTTCAACGCTAGATCTAGCTACAATCCTTTCTACTTGCTACTTCTCTAGGCCATGAGATTTTCGTCTTCAAAGCCCACTAACTTGAAGTGATTTTTTAATCCTTTGTGAACCTAAAATAGTTAGAATTGGAATATGCCAATCTCAAAATGATTATCTTTTTAATGTACGTTCTTTTCCAAGAGATATTTTATTTTATCTTAAAATTTTTATGATTAGATCCCTATGATTTTTCTTTTGTTTTGCCTATGCTGACTAATCACACCAACACAAGATACATCGTCAACTAGGCATTGGTGGCGAGAAGCATTTCAAAATGTTCATCATTCTCAGATGATTGCAGATTATCCATGAGAGAGTTAAAATGAGTTAAAATGGTTGCATATAAGAGGACATGTTTCTTCGAGGAAGTTTGTAGGATATTTTTATTTTAGAGAGAGAAACACCTTTGTCGTTATATGCAAACTCTTCCAAGTAAATATTTTTTTATGCCAATATGTTTAATGATGAAGTCCTTTGAATTTACTACTTTTTTTTATCAATATTGGAAGCATCATTGGGTTAAGAAGAATATCATCAACATGCATGATGAAGATCACTGTGCTATAAGAGGAGTGGTGGATAAAAAAACATTGATCGGTTGTGCTGCTAAAAAAACTAATAACAATGAGAACCTAAGTTTGTTGAACAAGCACAGGGACATCGTTTCAACCTATATATAACTTTTTGAAGATTTTAGATTTTCTTATTCCCTAAATAGCATGCTCTAGAGCTTTCTTTACATAAACTGCTTTAGAGAGAATAAATTGGAGTAAAATACACTTCCATAAAAAAATTATTTTATGATTATTTTGAAACAATTGGTTTCATGCTAAAAAAGTTGAACTGAATGTACAATTACTTAACAATATGTGTCAAATTAGTCCCCATACTATTTACATGAGATCATTTTAGTCCCAGAGTCAATAAAAGTGTCAAATTAATCCCCGTAATTTTTTAATATGCAGCCCTCATTAAGAGTCTGGGGATTAAATTCACTTTTATAGACTCTAGGACTGAAATGACCCCTACAAAGAGTCAAGAAATCATTTTGATGCTTTTCTCGTTTAACAATAATGCTCCATATTTCATTTTTTTTATGTAATTTATTTATTTAGCTCAATTATTTAAATATTTATCACTAAAGATTGCAAATGATGATAAGGGCTGATGTCAATGTTGACTTTGGATGATTAAACATGTTTTTGGGGTATTTTGCTGCTAGTGGAAACAATTACATCTGTTGGCTAACAATAACCTTATTATTTGAGCTCTTGTATCCTCTTTCAAGATGATTGAATCATTTCACTCGATGAAGTTTATTTAAATTTATCATTTTGAAACATGTTCTCATCTTCCATTAAAGATTTTTCAACTAGACACTTGAGGTTTCTTTTCATGTGATTGTAAGTTGTAACGATGCTAATAAAAGTTTCTATTTTATGGCTAGTCTTGTATTTTATTTTAGTGTACTAAATGAGACGTGGGTACACTATTGACTTTAGACATGTAATATATTTGAACTTGTGTCTCAGCATGAACTTTTTTTTTCTCGAAGCACATTAATATATGAAACCCTTTGTAGACACATATCTTCTGGGCGGAAGAAACAACATTTTGAAGAAATTCAGGAGCAAAAACGGCAGGATCAAGCTTTGGACGTTCTAAGTGTTTATTCTGCATCCCCTAACAAGGTAAAGATATCTCATAGTGATTAGGAATATAAGCTCATAGCAGTTTCAAAAATATCGAGGGCTTGTTTGGAATTATTTTTTGTTTTTATTTTGTTTTATTTATGTTTTTATTTAAAACAAAATATTTTTGATATGATAAAACATGCTTAGTTGTTTTTAAAAACAATCAAAATAATTTTTAAATGTTTTGAGTGTTTTAAAAACAGGCTTATTTGTTTTTTAGAAATAAAAAAATACAAAAAATGCACTAAGTAAACTTGTGTTTAAAATAAAGGCAACAGCAAAAACAAAAACAAAAGTGATCCCAAACAAATCCTGAACTTATTATTTTCTTTGCTTTTCTTTTTTAATTTGTTTCATGTTTCTTGCTAAATTACCTTAAATATTAATTTTACTGCCAACTTATTTCTGCTTTATAGAATTTGCAACTCCTAGTAATCCAACCCCAGTCGTTTTAGATATTATCTTATTTTTCTAATCTGACCTCAATTCTACATAAAAGAGCTCACTATGACCTCAGATTTATCCTCTTGTGTAGTCATCTTGTAATTTATCAATTCCATGAATTATGAATGATACAAAAATATAACATTCTAAATGAACATACATATTAACTTCTGATATGTCTACCCATTTAAATGGATGAGATTCAGGAGTGACTTAGCGTAATCACATTCATGTAAATATTTATACGCACTTTCCTTGCCCAAGCTTCAATGGTTCCTATGATATAATTTACTTTGGGCGCATTTACATACGAAACACCCAATTCTTATGGATTTACCTATCTCACACCAAAACTTCAATATTTACAAGCACCATAGGAAAAATAGCACTTGTTATCACCTTTTAATAGTCAAATCCATCTTTTCATCCATAGTTAAAGTGCCATACATGTAAAAATGAAACTTTTGGTGTGAGATACATAAATCCTGCTCGAGGGACTGGCGCGGCATCGGGAAGGAAGCCCACGGGCAGGAATCCAACCCCAGTCGTTTTAGATATTATCTTATTTTTCTAATCTGACATCAATTCTACATAAAAGAGCTCACTATGACCTCAGATTTATCCTCTTGTGTAGTCATCTTGTAATTTATCAATTCCATGAATTATGAATGATACAAAAATATAACATTCTAAATGAACATACATATTAACTTCTGATATGTCTACCCATTTAAATGGATGAGATTCAGGAGTGACTTAGCGTAATCACATTCATGTAAATATTTATACGCACTTTCCTTGCCCAAGCTTCAATGGTTCCTATGATATAATTTACTTTGGGCGCATTTACATACGAAACACCCAATTCTTATGGATTTACCTATCTCACACCAAAACTTCAATATTTACAAGCACCATAGGAAAAATAGCACTTGTTATCACCTTTTAATAGTCAAATCCATCTTTTCATCCATAGTTAAAGTGCCATACATGTAAAAATGAAACTTTTGGTGTGAGATACATAAATCATAAGAATTGTGTGCTGCGTATGTAATTTTCCCTTAATTTTTTCCTTCATTTCTATCTCATGTCAATTAGCAGTTATATTCATTTTAATCGAATTTAGAATCAGACATCACATTTAAAATTTCCAGCTTTTTAAGCATTAAATGGTCTCTATATCTAAAAACCAATAAGATTTTTGGGAAATTTACATAATTGAAACCAAAAATTTAATATTTACATGCGCGGCATTTTAGTGCTTTAAACTAATGCATGAAAATGTGGATTTCTCTTTAAAAGCGGTGAAAGTGCTATTTTCGATTTGATATTAATGATTTGAGTGTAATGTGTGTAAATTGGAATGTATAGGTGTGACATATATAAATACATAAGAATTG